TGAATCTTGAACGTTTACGTTCTCGCGTTCCCCGCTACCAGGTTACCTCCATGGCTCTGATTCACCGGGACCAACGGGCTCACGAGCTGCGGATGCAACTTGTCCGTGGCTCGTTAAGCGATCCTGCGGCCAGACGAACACTGAACCAAGTCTATTCGCACATCGGTGACTATGTGGGGACGAAGGTGAACCGCGCCGCACATCGCTGGGGCAGAGGTCCTTCCGCGACCGCCGACCGCATCGCTGCGTTCTTCGGCGCAGGATCGCAGCGAGAAGCCAAGCTTGAAGCTTTGTGCGTTGATGGCTGTCTGTGGTTAGAGGAGGAATGTTCCAGGCTCCTCGAATATGCGTTACCGTGGGTGAAATTTATTTCTATCAAAGTCCTGGTTGGATTGAAGATTCGTAGATGTGAAACGGCACAGACGCAGGTCGCGACGTTTAAATGTGTTGTCACGATTGCAACACGGTACCACAGGACGCGCAGGCTCTTCCTCAAATCCAAACACCTCAGACGCGCTGGAAATACGGAGGCGCTGATCTCTGCGGTTTGGGCCCGCGCGGATGACACGCAGCCTCACGAATGGAATTATTACTGCCGGTTTGCGGCAGCTTGTCTCTCTGAGCAGCACATTTCCCTAATTCTCGGGGATATTTCGCCCCGATTTTTGGGCTCTATCGACACGGAGAGCGGCGATCTTAGTGTCATTGAGCGCCTATTGATTGCGTCGGAATCCAGGCATGTTATTATCTTCCAGAATCATCGTTATTGATTCTGATTTTATGCAACAATGTGCGAGTTCCATCTCTGATGCTCTTGCCCTTCGATATTTGGTCGGAGTTCTGGAACTGCCCGCTTTCTGGCGAGAAAGTGGTGCAATACATATCACAGTATTCACCAAGATTTTAGACCGTGTAACGTGCCTTCTGAATGACCTCGGACTGGATTCTGGTGAGGATGAAAGCGAGGCCAGGAATGGTGTCGTTTTTGATAACGAAGGAATCGATTCTATGGCCGGCGTGATACTGGTCGGCGTCTTGGACTGGCATACGGCGGACCCAGAACCACAATATTGGTATCGCAGCCTCACTGAGATCGTGCGATTACTGCATCTGTATGTCTTTACATTTCGCCTATTGAATTCGTGGTTTACATTTTTTTTTCCAGGCCCCGTGCTGAACGTCTTCTGCCTACGTCTTCGGCACTTGCTACTGGTCCCGATGTTGGGAATATTAGCACCTGATAAATTGAATATTTTGACCATGGCGTACGTCAGACTTAGGAATGGCGCTGGGATTGGAAATGTTGACGATCCGTACGCAGAAACAATGTTGCTGAGTTCCGACAAACACGCCACGAGACTGATCGTGAGTAGTGAACTTGATTGTCCGCGTACATACATTCAACTTTGCTGGATACAGATTTCAGCTTGCGGAGCCTCGGCGATGGGTGGGTTGAAGACGTCGACGTTGAACCCACCATAGTTTACACAGAGGCCGTATCTTTTCGGTGGACGGTGATTGGCAGTGCACTTTTCAGTGCTCGCCGATGGTCCTCGAGTCCGCGTAAAAAGGTGCAGGCAAACAAGTCTTTATCTGCCCGCGCATGGGTTCCAGGGTGGTTACGCAGCTTTCTGCCGCGCCGTAATCGTCATGCAACACCTTCGGAAACAACCACGGAAGATATTTCAACAAGTCCTGATAGTGACCATCAACCTTCGAGTCCTGAGCCAGGGACTACATCCTCGGTGCACTCGGGTGAAGACGACTCGATAGGTATCTGAATGCTTCACCTACTCTTCTAGCCAAGAGGTCCCTAAGATAAGGATTTGACCCACGATCAACATCAGACTTTTGACATATTCGTTGTGGTGTTGTACAACACCAAACAACACCAAAAAACACATGAAAATGCCACAACACGCAACACCCCACAACATTGGGCCTAAAATACACAACACCGGTGATGGTGCACTGTTGCCGTGCTTCGGCGGTTGATCAAAATTGAAAATCCTTCTGGCCCAAGGGAGTTCCACATTCCTGCACCCCATCCTATATGCCCCGACCAAATTTCAAGTTCAATGTCGAGCTCACCGTCGCTGACAAAATCCATCAACAACGCGACAATACGTAAAAACATCACAACTCGGCAACCAAAATGTCAAAAGGCTGATGAACAGCACGTGATCAGATGCGATGGCTCCTTTCTCAGGTTCAAGGAGTGGTAAATAAATTTGCTTGTGAGGCTATCTGAGTAGCTAGAACATGTATAATGTTGCAGAGAGGGTTTGGAATTTTCGGTGGATGATTTCGTTTCGAAGTGAGTTATCACCAGATTTATGACCTAATTGGGCTTGGCTGGCATTTCACGCAGTAGGGCACTTGCAGGAGCTCATAACCTCTGGTAGTTGATAGACAAGTATATGGTACATATTTAAAGCATCTAGTATATAATACAATTTTTTCCACAGCCCAAAAACATGTCCATGGCCAAATGGTTGTTTATCGCGACCAAATATTTGGGGGGGGGGGGCAGGGGTTATATCAGTGGTACAAATAATGAGATCAGCAACCTCTTGCTTCTAGCGCACTTGGAGGAAGAAATTTTAACTGGCGATCATCGGTCTTCGGTCTCTGAGCCTGGGTCTGCCAGGTCTTTGGTCCAGTCGGATGAGGAGGACTCGATGAGTTTCGGTAATTCAGTGATGGCTTCACGTTGGCTTCACACGAGTTTGATTCGCCCATCAATGCCCACGAGTCTGTTAGAGACGATCGCTCTGAGTGCCAGGCCCATCTGACGCCGGACTCTGCTTCGAACAACGACATGACTGGTTTCGTTTTTGACGTTGAATCCGGAGATCTTTGGGTGCCGGAAGTAACAACCGACAGCCAGGTGCGTCTCCGACTCGATTTTGGCATGACTAAGTATTTATTTGCACTCATATACTACGTGAATGCGCAGGCTGGCGAAGATATTCGACATACGATACCTAACGAACCAACTCCGGCGGTATCGTTGCCGAAGGTGTTTTTTGCAATGGACCCTCAGGTTGAGTCTCAGCCTACCAAGACCCAGATCAGCTCGGAGAAGATCAGGCAGGCCAGCAACGCGAGACAGATGAAAGCCGCTGCTGTCTTCCGGTGCCCACTTGAGACCTGTTCCAGGACTTTCACCGCGAGGCACAATCTTCTGTGTACGCAAGCCCCTTTCCCTCTTCCTACTCATCTCCTCTAATCATTCTTCCCTGCAGACCATATCAATGCGCACAACAAGTACCGCCCCCACCGCTGCACCTGCGGTATGTCCTTTACGACCCAAGGCGTCCTCAACCGTCACAAGAAACGCTGCGTACACGCCCAGAGCACAAATGCGCCCCAGTTTGAAGTGAACGGCGAAGGATGGGAATGGAAACCAAGACAGCCGTGGACTCGATCACGGTGAGATCTGAGCAAGTGCAGGCATAACGCACACCACTTGGTTTGGAATATAGTACCTCAGACAATGCAATACCAATTCCTGGACCACGGTTTTGAGTCAACCCCCGTTGTGAACAAGAAGAGGACTCATTTATACATCTGAAAATAATTTGGCTAAGTGAAGATGGCCTCACCTTGATTCGAAAAAAAAGATTCGGCCCTGGACGTCTATTCTTCCTTCTTCAGCCGGCGCTGACTCCCCACCAGAAAACAATGTATTTACCATGCTTTTAGAACAATACCCGAACAATTCACCGAATCCAGGAGCATGGTGAGTAGCCACTTATATCAGGATGAAGGCCGAACGTTGAACGTGTCAACTTCAATTGTATTTTTTCAACACGAAACATGTGACTTTGGTTCAATTCTTCAAGTTTGCCGCGGACCAACCGCGGACCCCAAACTCGGCAAGGGTACAGCACTCATTGTAATGTGCAATATTGGAACCCAATATTAGCACAATATTCACATCATTAGTTCAATCGGCCTGATGGCGCGGAGGTTCCGAGTCGAGGACGCCCGGGTTGAAGTTGGTACATCTTGGTTTTTGGTTTATTCAGCACTGTCCGAGAGCGATCACTCGTAGAAATAACGAACTTTTAACCGACCAAGGAAGGCCTGACCTGTCCCGATTCAAACAGGGAAATCCGACTCCCCGTCCGCAATGGGGGGTAATTATCCGACATCCGAATTTGCGGAGCACCTCATATTATAATCACACAACCATTGGAAATTGAGGTGTGAGGACAACTCAGACGTGGTGCATGGTGCACGCCCGCTTGCGATAAAAGCCGGATATGGTATCTGTCACCGGTTAATAAACCGGGCATTCGATTCCGATTCTCAGCATCCAAATCCTTATAATTTTTTCTTTTCTTTTCTGTCCGGGTGTATCTCGGAGTCAGGTGTGAGTGCTACATGTGTTCTCATATTTATATGACTTTGGGTCCGGGTTATTAACCTATGTTTGTCATCTTCCAAATTCCGAGCCACTCCTACCGTAGTGCTTATGGCTACTTTATTGACGATCTGTGGCGGCCGAGAAGCGAGAGAAAAAGAAACAGACACGATCTAGGGCCCCACCTAATTTGAACCAGGGATTCCTTGATCAAGAGGTTGTTTGTGTCGTGATTAGTATCAGAGGACCTGTTACCGCACGACGAGGCCGTCGTTAAAACTCAACCCCGGCCCGCTGTGAGTAAGAAGGATAGTCCGCAATCTTTTTTTAAAAAAACCTAACGAATGGGCATGACCTCTGATTCGAACAAGGACTTCCTCAGCGCAATATTTCTCCGAAATATTAGTAGAGAACATGTTACCACTACACCACGAGGCCGTGATGAACTTAAGTGGCAAGTAGTTACATCTTGTCATCGAGTGTAATAGACGTGAATCTGAATGAAATAATCAAGGCTGTATCCAGTGTAGATTGCAAGAAATGAGAATACACGCGAACATATTCAGACTTTAAGAACTCAGCGTAACAAAAAAGAAACAAAAAACAAAAAACTGCACCTTAATCTCAATGGCCTCGCCTTGATTCGAACAAGGGACTTCCTCTGAAGAGTATTACTTCGGAAATATTGGAAGACATGTTACCAATACACCACGAGGCCGTGATGCACTTCACTGGCAAGCAGCTGACATTTCATCCTCTACAGTTTGAATGAAAATCACAAAGACTACTCTAGAGCTGCATCCGAGTCCAGTATAAATTGCAAGGTAAAATTATGAGACTAATTTTCACAAAGAATTCACAGTCTCAACGGATTTCGGCAAACTCTATCGGTTGGTCTGTATTTTTCATCAAGTCCTAAGTTAGAAGTTGAAAGTCCAAGTCCAAAGTCCAAAGTCAGATTGATCTCGGCCTGAGCGAGTACTATTCCCACGCTTTCTTAATTCTGTTTGTACTGAGGTACTGTGAGGTAATTGGATGGTGGTATGAAAGATACTTTCCCGACATGCATGCAGATTTTCGAATACACCTGGTGGCATAATTATTTTATGAGATTTTCCTTCTTTGACGCCAAACATGGAGCACTAGGGATCAGTTATGCAGTCTTCTAGAGTACTAGTAGTTAGCAAGCATCAGTTGCATGGTGGTTTTGCGATTTTGAATGTTCTTGAGCTGCGCTTTCTTCAATGGTTTCAGCCCCGAAGATCAATCATATGCATCAACTCCTAAGAGCACGCTAGTCCTCTCTGTCCTTGTTCCCAATCCCGGTTTAATTTCAATGTTGTAAAAGAGTGAATACAATTATTGAGTGAGCTGTCTCATTTCTTTCAGGGTGTTTGAAAAACCGACCATTTTACACTTTTTTCAAGCCACTGAAGTTTCACTATCAAACGCTGGTCATATGACGGACAATATCAGCTCCAAGATAGTTTATAAAACAGTTCTGTGGTACCAAAAGGATCATATGATAGGGAACAACATTTTACCCGCTATCTATATTTAGATAGTGGGTTTTTGGAGGGATCTCAAAAAACACTTCCTTGCGTTTCAAGTCGACGAATAAGGAAAAACTTGGCTCCCGCTAATATTTCCTTACATAGTAACCCGCGTTCCGTGTCCTTCCTTTTCCATCGCCGCTGTTGACATGTTTCAACACCTCCTAACTGTCTTGAAGCTTAAATACAGATACCCCGCTTTTCAGCTCTACCCCTCTCCCGGCTTGCGGATCCTCTTTCCTCTCACCATGGCCATTTTCGTCGAAGGCATACCAGTAACGTCCGTCTCTTTTGCCCCTACAGCACGTACGGTCGTGTCCTCTTCTTTCTTCCGGACGCTCGCGCGCGACAGCTCGCACCTCCTCCTGACGACGCCAATTCACCCACATGGGTCTTGCTCTACCGTTATTTCTTGCACGGTGTCTGCAACCTCTGGCTTTGACGTCGTACTCGGAACTGACTGGTCCGGCCTCTTGAGAGAATATCTTGTTTCTGTTGGACACCGTCCACCTAGCCCGTTCAATCCTTTGGAATTCCTCCTGTCTCATCACTGTAAATCTCCTCACATTCCACTGTCTGTGATTCACACTTCATTTTTTCAGCATCAGCTGGGAAAAATGTACCGTCCGGTGTGTTTACCCCTGTCTACTCCATCTCGGTGCTTATCGTTGACAGCTGCGCCTTCTTCGCACGAATCTGTCCCCAGTGCGTCACTACGTATTGCCTGATGATATTCACATTCACGCTTTTCCTTAGCGCCATCCGATGCAGCGGGCCTACTTGGTTAGTGTTTCTTGTATGCCGTAGGCGGCTTTTAATCCCTCCTTTTACAGACGCGGCTCCTCCGCACAATGCAATTCACAGTGCGTCATTACATATCGGCAGGCGATGAATAACCCTGTCCAGGTCCGCCATTTCTCAGCGGAAGGGGAGATGTATTGTCTGCTAGTAAACGTGCAGGGCAATCAACTCGCGGTGCGCTAACCTTTCTTCTCCTTCCCGTTTATTTTCTGACGAACTTTTTAAACGTTACCCTTTGACTTTGAAACTTTGACATTCTGATACTTTGTTACTTTGATCTGCTACTGTGTCCAGGTCCGCGGTCTCCCAGTCCAAAGGTTGAAGTCGTGCCTCCTAGCAAACGTGCAGGTAAAGGCAAAAAACTCCGTGGTACGTCAGCTTTTTGTTTCTTATCATTATATTGGCTGACAAACCTATTACTCTCCACTCTGTGACTTTGATACTTTGCTATATTGAACTGTAATGTCCCAGGCGCCGCGGCTCATGGAATAAAAGTCAAACATTATGTACCTCCAACGGGTAAATTCGTGAACGCGAACGCTGGATCATCCCGACTTCCCGCTGAACCTGCCAAAATTGTTAAGAACGTTGACCCTGATGCGCATGACAGACTTGTAAATCTTTTACTCTCTCCTGATGACAATCTTAATGTTTTTGCAACTGGTCCTAAAACTTTAATCAAAGTGTTGAATTCACACCACATTGCGAAGCCTGCGGATTTAACCATCGCCGGTGCTCGCCACGCTCTGCTAAGCCACCTAGTAACCGGCGCGTGCATTGCTACGTGCGATCCTGTTTACAAAGAAGATCATTCTTGCGCTTGCATGCAACTCTGCTCTTTATACCCCAGTCAGCAGGCCATGTCGTTCGCGGTTATAAGTATCCTATTGTCTGCATCTCACGACAGGCTCCCAGACATCGGCATCGGGATAGTTGCAGATTGTATGGGGTGGGAGGATCACTCGCGTTCCGCCGTACTGTCCAGACTGAGTAATCAACGTCGAGCCCTTGTCCACGATCACAGCTCCAGTCACACCGCGCGTACTTTATTCGAACAGCTCCATTCTCTGCCTAAGGGCACATTGATGTCTATTGCGCAGGCTCACGGGATCTTTCTAGAAAATGCGACCAGTGAATCTCTTCGTGAAGCCATTACTCAGCACGTAGGTATGGGTATGTGTGTCGCTCACGAGGGGTTTGCACCTTTCTTAGGATGTTCGTCTCTTGAATCTGAATTCCCGCCGAGCTCTGAGGCCGGGAGCTGTAATGACCCATCTGTCCGGCTTCAAATCCAGCTACTGCGTCAGTTAATGCCCGTCTTGAAAACACGGCCTCTCAGGCGGTTGTTAGAGCTGCACGACGTCAGTTATCTCGAATCTGACAATGCCAAAAAATTACGGCAGCGTTTAAAGAGTTATTTGATTCGTCTTCGGTCAGGAAAATATGCTCAAGACATTGTCGGAGTCCCAGGCACCAATCGCAGGCTGCGCGCACAGGAGAGCTCTCGTTTACGCAAGGAGTGGCCCCAGCTTGTTCCCGCACGGCTGAAGAACAAGTTGCTCGCTAATTTTAACATGGAAATATCTCAAGACACGTTGGCCACATTCATCTGCGGCAGTTGCTCTGAGAACTGTCCGATTGTCGACAAATGTACCCTTGGGTTTGAAGATTTCGACATTAACCTCCTGAGCAGACCCGACGACATTGAAGTTGATGACGCCATGTCCGAGGACATTGCTGACTCCGACGGTATGTCAGACGATGAGCCACATCCCGAGCCACTTTCAGATACAGTTGTCGACCGCCCACCCCAAAAAAGTTCTGGCCCCACGTTGCCCGTTCCGAAGAGCTGGTTGGATTCAAACACCCCCGAGCCGCCCATGCCCATGGCTAATACCCCGTACAGTCATATGCTAATAGATCCTTCCAGTGTGGAAGCTGACACCGAAACTAATGACCCCATCATTGTCGTATGTCGTCGGTGTCAAACAGATTTAAAAGGAGGACGCGTACCCGCCCTCGCCACCGCAAATCGCAATTACTTGGGTCCTGTGCCTCCAGAACTGCAAGATTTGACTGTGGTCGAGGAGGCCATGATCTCACTCTGTCGAGCCAAGTGCTGGATCATCCAACTCCGCGAAGATGATGCTGAGACGTCCATCCCCATATCCCAACGCGGTGTCCGTGGTCACATAATCGTCTATCCACAGAAGCCCTCTTCAATTGCACTCACACTTCCGCCGTCATTAGAGGACATCATCACACCAGTCTGCGTGATCTTCGTTGGGTCTCATCCTCCCACTCCGGAGTGGCTACGCGAAAAGGCCAAACCACTTATAGTGCGGAAAGAAAAGGTCTTAAACGCCCTCAATTGGCTCAAGGCACATAACCATTTGTACCGTGACGTCCCTCTCAACAATGAAGTCCTCGATTCTCTACCTGCCCAATCCATCCTGCCTTTCCATGTTCAGCATGTCGTGCCCAATGCTGGAATTGACGCCACCACCTCCGATTACATTCCCGGATCCGCAGAACCACCCATATCCCCTGCCGTACCCAATCTGAGTGAAATATTAGTTCCGCCTGTTTCAAACATCCCTTTTCAAAGTGTTGTAGTTGCCGATGTCGATGGAAACACCACAGCTAATGAATTGCGAGCAGCCGCTGTTGCTCACATGAAAAAGCCTGGGTCCAATTATATCGAGATTCCGCATGGCTCTCATCCCGCAGACGAATTCAAAAATCCTCACCTATTTCCCATGATGTACCCGACCTTGTTTCCGTATGGCCTCGGTGGACTTGAAGACAAAGATCGTCGCACACGCCTTGGTTTCAAGCGTCACGTCAAGCACCTCTTTAACCTCGCTGACCGCAGATTTCAAGAGCATTATTCGTTCCTGTTCACGGCTTTCAACATGTGTAAAGCGCCTCTACGCTTGGTCTCACGGAACGTGATAACTTCGAGCAATGTGTATTGTCAAAGTGTGCACGTAGTGTAAGGTTAAGAGTAAAGGTCCAGTATCGTCAACAAATCGTCCAGTATTTGTACCTACGGCACTTCCGATGATCCGGACACCGAAGGTGTTAAGTAAGCTATGATAGGGGGTGGGGTCCATGGGTCCCAACCCTAACACTCTCCCCAATTAGATTGAACCCAGAGGTTCAATCTACAATAAAAGTGAAGAATGTTTCCAAGAAACTTTCCGATGAAGTGACAATATCCATAAATGGAAGTATCGTACGCGAATGTACATCGCGAATCCCAAGCTACAAATCATAGCACAAGAAGATATATAATGCCTCGACTACGAGGTAGATCCATTTAACAGAGCGCGAGTGTAACTCGAAGTATTGACAAAAATAT